AGGCAGGAAGCAAGAGACAGACAGATCCCAGTGTGAACTGAGCTTATAGTTTTCCAAATTCATTTTGGAAAACTAGGACTCCCTTGGTGGAGAGATAAGGGATTTCAAAACACATGCAAATAAGAACTTCAGAAGCTGCTATCCCATTTTTACAAATGACCAATGATGGGGATTAAAAATTTTAAAAAGACTAAAAACTCATTTGGCAATATCATAACCTGAGCTTTTGTTTTATTAGTAATTCTGTGTCAAGGGAGCTTTGTGTCCCACAAATCAATCATGGGGATAAATGTGGCAATTTGTTAATGAAAATACAAACTGAAATAATATGGAATCTGCCACTGGTGTCAGTTGTATATATTGCTTAACTGGGCCCAGTTATTTAATTTGCAATTAAACTTGCTATTTTTAAATTTTACTTTGAAAAGTCTTTGTCAAGGTGGACTATGCCTAGACAAGTGGAATCTGATTTCCAGGTACTGTGAGACAACCTCAGGATGATTTTTAGGAAAAAAAGTGACCTCTCTTCCCTCACAATCCCTTAATAATAATGTACTCAGTGGTATGCATTGAGCTTCTCTAGGTTAACCATGTAGTGATGATCATTACTCTTTTAATTTTTTACATTAATCTCCATGTTTTCTATTAGTGCTAGCTACTGCTTATGCCTCTCAATGCCACAATCAGGGTATTTTTGATATCTTGTATTACTCTAATCGCCAAGAAGTGTGCTCCAAACTGAGTAATTCCAGAATGATTAAAACATCCTATGTAATTCATTTATTGTTGCTGCAGTTAATTGAATATTTGATGATTTAAATTTACCCTGATTATGTCATAAGATATGTACTTATCACCAGGCATATGATAAATGGTTCTTCTGTGGCTACAGGGGGTGGCAGCCTGCACTGTCAGATGCAGAGAGGGTAGGCACTTGTAAGAGCTCTCAGTCAACTTACCACCTGCCCGACATGTGCCTCCTTTCCCTGGCCCTCAGGGGACCACATCCGTGCACAGCACAAGAGGATCGTCTGGGGTCAGGAGTGAGATCACAGCTTCCCCAGTGCATTGTGCAGCTTGCTTTCTGCTCCAGGAGAAGGGGGGTGAGAGGGAGAGCGAGAAAGGACACTGCAGCTCTGAGTAGCTAACTTGCGCTTTGTGGACTATCTGAATACTCAAGAGTAGATTTAAAAAGGGGAGAAGGTGGCTCTGGAATTAAGCAGCAGTTTAGCAATTTGATGGGCAGCAGTTCTAATCCCAGTGCCACCACTAGATCTCTTCCTCAGTTTTTCTTTCACACTTGTCCGAGTGATTCCTCCAGAATTACTGCGAAAGAGGCGTAGGGGTGTGTGTATGTGTGTGTGTGTGTGTGTGTGTGAGAGAGAGAGAGAGAGAGAGAGAGAGAGTGTAAGAGGACAGAATTCAGGGAGGGAGAGAGAGAGAGAGAGTAAGAGGACAGAATTTGGGGCAGAGCCCCAGCCTTAGTGCAGCTTTCTTCCAGTGTACAGAGTGACCCCATCACGGCTCTGCAGGGTCACAGAGACTGAAGTGGCCTCACCACTTCTCAGCCATGTCTAATCCTTGGCCCCTCACTCCCATATGGAGTGAGGACTACAATGGGGACCTCAGCGCCTGGGAGCTTCTGTCAGAAATGACTCTGTCCATGAACTCGGTAGGTACCCTTTCCTTGCCACCTAAATCAGACCTCCTGTTTGGTATTGTCTATTTTCCACTGTAAATGTTGTCTTCCCAATTTGTGTGGCATCTTGTAGGTGGAAATGATGTCCTTACTGTCTTTAAATCCTCCCCCTTGGGACTATCCTGAGCACAGTGTGAGCTCAATCAGGATTTGTTGTCTAAAGAAATAAATGGGAAAACTGATGAATAGGCAGACAGTGGGGAAATGAGTAAGATACTATTACCCTTGTCACGACTACCTTACAATGTATGTCCCAGTGGGTCTCTAATTGTTTGTTTTCCTGTCTCATCTCGACATTTAACTCTGAGAGAAAGAGGCTGATTCTCCTAGTGATTTGTATTCCCATCCCCCCATGCCTTGCACTGTTCTAGGCACATAGAAAATGTTTGCTGGTTAATTAAAAAGCACTTGCAGCTCAAATGTAGTTGTCTTTCTGGGAAAGCAGCTGTGGGGCTGGACTAGATGGATTTGTGGAACTAGTGACTTCGTGAGAATGTTGGATTCTAGTATTTTCTAAAAAAAAAAAATATCTGAACACTGAGTGCGGATACATATTTGTTTGACTGCTTTTGTCTGTAGAATTCTTCTCAGTTCTTAGTGCTACTAACCCCAATAGTCATTATTAGATTTGCTGTAAAGCCCCAGAGTCTACAACTCTTTCTATTTTGACAACATTTCCTCCCATAAAGAAGTGGATATTTATAATTCCAGGTGTAGAGATGACATTTGCAGTTGGCAAGAGTAAGTCAGATCTTAGTTTGAAAAGACAAGAAGACTGAACTTAATAATAGAAGGAGAACAACAGGACAAGGGTAATAACCTGACTCATTGTGTGGGGCTTTGCAGGTTACAAAGTGCATTCACAGCACTTATTTCATTTGATTCTCACAGAAACCCTGTGGTTTAAAAGGGACAAGTATTATTATTATTATTATTAATGCTATGATTATTTTCCAGTTGGGGAAACTAGAACTGAGAGGAGTACAGTTCCCAAATGATAGGTAAGCTCTTATAGGCAGGTGTTCTTGCTGTGTCTGCATATCACTGATATTTTTTTCTCTTTAATTTAAAAATTAATGTTGATCATGTTTGTGTGAAAAAAGGAGAACAAAGACCCTTTCATGAGACTAGGCCATGCATTTTTAGGTTAGGCAGCCCACACTAATACAGTGCAACAGTCATATTGAAGATTTAAGCCTTTGTTACAATTTTTTTTTTTTTACCTTTGTATTTGGGGAAGGTATTTGTTAGTTCAAGAATTGTCTTGGAAAATACAGTTCCTGGAGCATTGAGCAATAGAATGAGATTTTATTTGTGGTTAAGAATTACCAGTTGAGTTCTATAATCATGGAACATGTTAGACCAGCATCTCCCAGTGTATGTTCTACAAACACCCATTGTATGGAATAGCAATAGTTGTTAATTGAAAAACAAAACCAAAAACTAACTAAAACTAAAAACCCAAGAATTCAAGAGTCAAGGAAGCTGGGAATTTGCTGCAGTAAAATAATTAGACAGATGTCTCTGAGCTTTTGATTTGCATCATGGATCTCCAAGAGGGGGATGTGGATTGCAGCATTCCCCACACTTATTTGGACACAGAACCTTTTATTTTGCCGAGCTAGTGTCCATGACATGGTCTCCTTTATAGCACGCATCATAGTTTATAGTTATGGTGTTATTGTGTGATTCTTCACATCAGCCTTCCTGTCAAGACAGCAAACTCCATAAGGGAGGAAACTGTGTCTCCTCTTGCTACCCATTGTACCTCTGCCTAGCACCAGCCTGGTGGCACTCAGACAAATTTGTTGACTGAATAAATGAATGATCCATGTCAGGCCAAATCACCTGTGGGTGAAATCTGTATTTCAGGTTTTTTACAATATATGACCAGCCACCTTTCTGAGCCCTTTCTTCTACCTGCTATTAGAGTATTATTGTTATTTGGAGGGTGACTGTATAATTTCTCATCCAAACTAGGACATTTTTGAGGGTGAAAGGAAATACTATCAATGGTTACACCAGGACAACAAGTGGGAACTGGGACTGTACTGGGCACCCTAGGATGGCCAGCCCTTGGTCTCAGCCTACTTCCCCTGCTTGGGATTTTATGCTCCTTGGAGCAGAGAATCTTACCTATAGAAGTTATTCCATAAATACTGGTTGAAATTAATGAATGTACAGTAGTGACTTTAATGCTGATTAAAGATTCGCTATATTTTTAACATCTATTTTTTAAAGTTGAGGAAATCTTGTGCCATAATCTATACCCCATTTCCCCAAATATAGTTGAGCTCATACTGCAATCTATCAGATAGTAACTGATTGCCCTTGCAAGAGGCCCGGGATGTGTAGATGCTGTGGTAGTGCTCTCTTTACAGAACTGGCCTTTCTTCTCCCAAGGCAGTGAATGAAAAAGACCCACTGTTCTCCTAACCAGAACAGGAGGGAAGCAGAAGTGATCAGATTGCAATCCTGGATAGGGTAAAGTTGTTTGAGGGATGCCCATAACCTCCACAGGTGATGCAGTGATCAGCAGACATTTCTCTAGATAGTTGTCCCACTCCCAAGTTCCTCATTCACTGCCTTGAGGCTGATGGTCTTATTTTGGTATTTATGTTTTTGTTCTCACTGATTATGGAGCCACTGGAGGAAAGATCTGTGTGCCTGACATAGAGTAAGTCCTCAGCATGTTTCTGCCAGTGGTCTGAACAGTGACTGATTCAGAAGGTGTTACACTGGGAAAGATGGCTCATAGGATTCACTCAGTGTATTCTGAGATTCTGTTTAAGTTCCAAGGCAAGCATGCAATTTACATGGGTGTCTACCCTTAGTGTTTTGGATAAGAATTGTAGGCATCTTGTTGGATACTCAACTTCAAAAAGAGCTCAATTTAATCACAGAAGTGTTTCATATAGGTCTTATCTTTTTAATGACTAAGATACTGAACTATGTCAAAGAGTTGATGAGGCTTTAAAGATCACAAGGTCAAGCTCCCACTTTGTATAGATGAGCAAAGAGAAGCACAGGGGAAGGGGCAATGGCTCAGTGTCTCAAGGAAAATCAGTGACAGAACAAGAAGTCACTTTTGCACCTTGTACTGTGGTCTCATTGCTTCATTAAAGTAAAACAAAATTAGTCATTTGCAGATAATTAACTTCTTTGTCTTTAATAGGAAAAAAAAAACATTAGCAGCTCGATTTTCTTTCTTTACAATTTGTCCTACAGAGTAAACTATTACACCATAAGCTTCTCTGAGAATAGATTGTGTTAATTATTTTTTCTGTTTATTTTGTTTTAGGTGAGCCTTCCAAGTGACCCAAGCTGTGTTGAGGAAATCTTGCGGGTGAGTTGAAACCTTTATTTCTATGCCTTTTAATAATGAAAAAAATCTATCTGCTTAAGGTGTTTAAAGTAATTACTGTTCTGTTTCAAGAAGTATCATGATGGAGAATCTTCTATCCTTCTGCTTATCTCAACTATCTCGTTTCTTACCTGTCCTCTCTCCATCCTGTAATTGAGTTAGTCTTCTAGTATCACTAAGGTTCTGCCCTAAGCCACCATCCTTCTTATACAGAGACTCAGCAGCTTCTTTAGGAGATTTTCCTTGTTCAAGTACCATCCATAAATCTTTGTCTTTCAGCTTCCTGGAATCTCAACTCAGCCTCACTGCTGCCTCCCACTAGCATTGTTTATGGGACATTGTTATGGAGATCATGGCCTATAATGAGGGGATGAGAGGTAGAAGGTGGAGGGTAGAAGAGACTTGGAAATGATGTCATGTTGTGGGAAGTGTTGCTTTTATGAGTGAATAAATATGTGGGAATGGCGTGTGAGGCAGAACTGAGTTGAAAAAAGGTGGCTATAACCTCTCCCAAAGTAAACAATTAAACGAAAAGGAGAAACCAAAACCAAGCCAGAAAAATGTGTCTGTCTTCTGTCTCTGGCTACTGGCATCATAAGGCAATATGGTATCTGAAGCATAGGAGCCATGGGGATGAGTTCCTGTCCCAGCTCTACCATTTGTCACTTGTGTGACTCTGGAAAGATGACTTCATTTTTCTGAATCTCCCTTCCTTGTCTGTAAAAGAGTACAATAATACATGTCCTAACTCCTATAAGCTGCCAAGTGGTATGTAAATGCTGGTTATTGTGATAAATGATTATCAGTGTAGCTTTCCCCAGGCTTTTTGTCTGGGAAAGAAAACTAAGTATGTGCCAATGAAAATTCTGCACACCCCTCCCTTACTTACCAAGTCATCCCAACTTTCTACTGAGCCCTCTCCCCTGGTAGGTGCCTTCTCAGCAGCCCAGTGTTTGAAGCAAACCTTATGATAATGTAGCCAAAAGAATAGTAAAGAGCAGAAAGCTGTTTACCATTGAGTTAGCCTGTCACCGGACTTCACCTGTTGTACATATTTGTGCATCTGTTTTAGCCCAAAAACATTGTTATTGATTATTAAAGAGATGAGTCATATCATGTGATAAGAGATGAAACTGTATGGATTAGGGCTATGCTGACTACTTTTGTAAGATAAGAGCCCAGCAACCTCTCAGTCATCTGTCTCTGGGTCCCAACGCCCTGGTGGAAGCAAGGCAGCTGTTAAGGGATTCACAAGCATGATGCACCCTGGGAACCCAGCTGCTTCAAACACTGGGCTTCTTCAAACACTGGACTCCATCCCATTGGGTGGACACAGGCAAAATTTAATCCTTGATTGCTTGTTGGCTGCCTTCTTTAAAGGAAATGGCATTGAAAGAAATGTCTTACGTCTACTCTAGACAGTAACTTTGTTTTTCCGCCCTTTTTTCCCTGAGTCACAAATAGAAATGAAGTCTGTGGTCTTTTTCTTAACTCCCAAAAGAATGCAGGACCCATTTCAAAATCACCACCTAATTTGTCACAATTGAAATCCTCTACTTAAGAGCAGCCTGGCCCTGGTGCCTAGGTGGTTCACATAGTGACTAAGTGAGGGGAGTGGGGTGAACACCTGTCAGAGGCTGGAGACACCAGTCTGCTGGAGAGGCCACTTAGAGAAACAATATAATTTCACTTAAACAAGGAAAGAAAAGAAGTATGTTGCCTTAATAAGCTCATAAAAGATAGCACCCTTTGAGAAAGTAATAAAAGTCCTTCTGTTATTCTTGAAAGAGAATCTAGGGAAACATCTTTTTTTTCTTCGAAGGGCTATAGATTGTATAGAATTCTTTTTTTTTTAACTACGTTAATGAGTGGGATTTCTTTTATTGAAGGATGAAATGTTTCATTTTCCATGCTTAGAATAAAAGTAAGCTTTTTGAAGTTTGTGTCCCTAATTTTATGACTAATTCTTAAATTTTTATAGATGACATTGAATGTTACAATGTAGTGTGCTTGCTGGACAATTTTTTTTGTAACCACATGTTCACATTCCTGTTGGTTTGGGGACCTTGGAGGTGAGGCAAAGCAGTAAGTCTGTTTGTTGCCTTGCTCCCCATCAGCCTCCTTCTTAGCAGAAAGTACCTTTTTTCTTCCTCTTTACCTCTCCCTGACACCCTCAGTGCTTTTCAAACTAAGCAGAGGCCAGAGCAAAGTCACCTCCTCGCTGAGGGGCACTCTGTGCACCAGCCCAGGAGCAGGAGAAGCTGCATCCTGTTGCTCATGAGATTTCCTAATTTCCTAGCTATATTGCTTTTCAGTCTCTTTAAAAGCAGGTGCTAATTTCCCCCCTCCATCTTACTGCCCACCTCTAGTGAAGGAATCTTTAAACTGTACATGTTGTTTACATCTGCAGCAGGAAAATCTGAGCTTGTTTGCTCTACCAATTTTCCCACCTCTCTCATCTCCCTTTTCCCCCTCCACATCCTGGCAAACAAACACTTGCAAACCCACTTCATCTCACATTGGCACAGACTTCATTTATTAACCAAGTGCAACAAAACCAAACTCTCCCCACTCTCAGCCTCTCAGTCCTCTAGGCAATGGAAATAGTTTTGCCTCATGTATTTTAGTTTGGCCCCCTATTTAAAAATGCTGTCCAAATTCAGCAGTTGGCTTCCTTTGAAAGCTCCTCTCACCATTTGTCTGAAAATGGGATCAGCTCCCCTCCAGACCAGTGCATCCATTTCTCTTTCTTTGCTCTACTGATGTTCATAATGTGCTGGAACCCACCTTGTCTGGTTTTCCAGCACGTTCCCTTTTGCCTTCAAACCCTTGCAGGTGCAATCACATTACAACAAGCTAACTCAACCTGATATGACAACCTTATTTTCCTATTGCAGATGGCTGTTTTTCAAAGCATGTGAACCTCATTATTTTATTTTGATCACAGAAAGTAAGGTAGTCTCTTATTATTTCAGGAAATCGAGGTCTAGAGAAATTAAATGACTTGCAACAAAGGGTGGGGCTAGTATATGGCAGAAGTAAAATAGAACCTGGTCATCATTTTCTAAATCTAGTGATCTTTGCTCTTTGCCCACCCAATGGTCAATCACCCTATCACAAGCATATAGTGACAGTATCTGGATTTAAAAAATCGCTTCACACAGTGGCCGACTTATTTCTAGTAACTTTAAGAATACCATCAAACCAACATAATTTGAGCAGCTCTTAGGAATTGTCTTCCTTTTTACCATTCTTTAATATTTTCAAATCTCACTTCAAATAATAATAAAAACAACAATATCAAATTTACTACTAATAATAATAAAAGAAATAATAATAGTAGTGTGCTTCCTACTACATGCCAGGCACAGTCCTTAAGCACATATGTCTTTGAATCTTCACAACCATCCTCAAGGATTATAATATTAGTCATACTTCATAGACTGGGAAAGAGTGAAACTCAGAGAGGTCGAGTAATTTGTCCAGATCACAGGTCCTCAAGTTTCTGACAACCATCATTCTATCCATTTCTTCTCATCCTGCCATCTTACCTGAATCCATCATTATTGAACAGGCTCTAGTCCACTATATCATTAAAATTATAATAGCTTCAACCAATAATTAATTTCAACATCTGTTGTTTCCTCAAATTGTACCAATTCAGTTATGCCACAATAGTTTCAAGTAGTTTTCCAACAGAAATTGAATTCCAGAATTCCAGAATTCACCAGCCTCCACTAAAGTTTCTTTCCACTAAACTGACCTTCTCTCACAAAATGAGCTGTATAAATTCAGATGTCTTTGCTCCTTGTCAAGAATAATATTGCTTATTATGAACTTTACAAATCTGTGCAGTGCAGCCGGGCTTGTGTACTTGCTTCTGTCAGCATGCCATTTACTCTTTAGAGTCAAGCTATCCTCACGTGCAAACAGAAATGAAAAATAATAACAACTCTGGTCCCAGTGATGACATTTTGCAGCTACAATTCATCTATCACATGAGGTAATCCTAGGCTGCTCATCTATAATAATATGAGCACCACCAGTAGCTTCTTTTTGGAGCTCCGCAGGGTTTTATGGGTCCTAGAGTAATCATTTTTGGAAGAGTTAAGCCAAGGAGAGCAGCATGCTCTAAATGCTCTAGCTAAGAATGGATGTTCAATGATGATTTGTTCTGAAGTATTATGATTTGTTCCTAGCAAGAATTTACTTATAAATATCAACAAACTATCAATTAAATCCTTTCTAGAGTCAGAAATGCAGGTAGAGCACTTCTTTTATTTTTACTTTTTTGTTTCAACTTTTCTTTGTTGTGGTAAAACAACTGCTTTTAAGTATACAATACACAATCCGCACACATGAAACAATAACTCCCTGTTCTCCTCTATATCCAGCCCCTGGAAACCACCATTCTAGTACTGTAATACTTTCTGTCTTTATGATTCTGCCTACTATAACTACTCTAAGTAGTTAGAATAAGTGGAATAATACAACATTTGCCTTTTTGTGACTGGCTTATTTCACTTAGCATAATGTTCTCAATGTTTATCCATGTTGTAGCATATGTCAGAATTTTCTTCCTATTTACAGCTGAACAACATTCCGTTGTATGTATATAGTATATTTTGCTCCACCATTCATTCATTAGTGGACATTTGGGTTGCTTCCATATTTTAGCTATTGTTAAAAATGCTGCTATGAATATGAGTGTACAAATATATCTTCAAGACCCTGCTTTCAATTCTGTAAAATCATGCAGGATGCTTCTTTTAGATTTGATGCTGAACAGATTGTGTTTCCAAGCAAAGTGCCTTTCATAGTTGATAATTTCATAGGCAAACATCTGTAAGGCTAATTCACTGTTAATGAAGGATGCTGAGTTTGCTAGCTAGAATGTAGGGAACTTGATTTGATAAACTGTGTCTTCTTACAGATTTCTTCCTGCCATATGGATCAGGTTGGTAAACACCTACATGGGCACC